CTCCCATGTGGTTAGTGATAGGACGAGAGGAAATGGGCTCAAGCTGCACCAGGGGAGGTTTAGGTTGGATATTAGGAAAAATTTCTTCACGGAAAGGGTAGTCAAGCATTGGAACAGGCTGCTGAGAGAGGTGGTGGAATCACCATCCCTGGAAGTGTTCAAAAAACGGGTAGATGTGGCACTTGGGGACATGGTTTAGTCTAGTCTACCCTTGATTGGTTTAGTGTGGACTTCGTAGTGTAGGTTAATGGTTGGACTGGATGATCTTAAAGGTCTTTTCCAACCTAAACAATTCTATGATTCTATGATTCTATGATTCTATGAAGGAGAAAGTGAAGGTGAAGGAGCCGGGGAAAGTGTCCCCCGCTGTCTTCCCCACAGATTGGTTCTCCAACCAGAAAAGTAAAGAGTGTAATTATTAATAGTTTCCAAGAGGTGGCTCCCGAGGTACGGAGATGACAGCAATGCCAAGTACAAATACCAGAGTAGTCTCACGACCAATAATTTTATCATATTATAAACCAGTGTTACACAGTGCAGAAAAATTATAACCTTGATCCAGCTCCCAGAGCTGATAAACAGCACAACGGGGAACACACACGGCAAGTAAGCTATTACATAGCACAACTTTGAAAGCAAGCACGATAACTTTGAGAGCAAATGAATCAACATTGTGACTAGCAACTATTAAACTAATATAATGAATGCTTGTAACAAATTTATTTTGACATGCTATGGTCAGATCTGTCATTATCTCAACCTCCATGCCCCACGTTGGGCACCAAAAGGACTGTTGTGATTTAACCCGACCAGCAGCTAAATACCACACAGCCGTTTGCTCATTCCCCTCCACCAGTGGCATGGGGGAAAGAATGGGAAAAAAAAAGTAAAACTCATGGGTTGAGATAAAGACAGTTTAGTAGGACAGAAAATGAAGGGAAAATAATAATAATAATGATAAAAGAATATACAAAATAAGTGATGCACTATGCAATTGCTCATCACCTGCTGACTGATGCCCAGCCTGTCCCCAAGCAGCAGTTGCTGCCCCTTGGCCAACTCCCCCCAGTTTATATATTGAGCGTGACATCATATGGTACAGAATATCCCTTTGGTCAGTTTGGGTCAGCTGTCTTGGCTGTGCCCCCTCCCAGCTTCTTGCTGGCAGGGCATGAGAAGCTGAAAAGTCCTTGACTAGCATAAGCAGTACTTAGCAACAACTAAAACGTCAGTGTGTTATCAACATTATTCTCATGCTAAATCCAAAACACAGCACTATACCAGCTACTAGGAAGAAAATTAACTCTATCCCCGCCAAAAACAGGACAACCTGTCTCAAACATTAATCAGAAATTAAAGTAACAAGCTGGCAAGCAGAGATGGGCATCCTTTTACTTATTCCTGTCTGCCCTCCAGCATTAGCTCACCTTGCTTGAAGTTACGCTGGGGCCTTAGAATGATTCCCACTCCAGTATCTGGGCAGACAAATATTAAGAAAACTTCTTGCTTGGTCTAAGTTGCAGCAGTACCGGACAGTGTGACATGGTCCCCCCTTCCTGGCATGAGAGCTTCTATAGCCTATCTTCTCAATAGATATTACTGTGCCTGAATAGGAAGCTTGCAGTAAAGCCATGGTTCCTTCCCTGCTTAAGGGAAAAATCCCTATTTTTAATAACTTTTCCAAGAATATGTATTTTTTTTCCTTCTTACTATGGACATTGCCACCTGTGCCACTAGTAGCCCCACATAGAGGCCACATTCCTTTTAAGAAAGTTTTCAACAGAAGTCATTGTCAAGAGGCTAACAGTCTGCTATGGCATCAGGTGTGGAATTGAGCACGGATGTCTTTTTACCTTTTCATCCCAGTTTTTGATTCAAAGAGTAGCTGAACTATGGAGACAACTGTGTAAGCCCAATACACTGCTGCTCGTTGGTAGTCACCAGTTCAATAGCTATAGCAGTTGAAGGAGTTGTATGCGGTTGCCCTTCTGGGACAAGGAGGAACTGGAGAAAAAAGCCTTTATTTAAGCAGAGTGTTAATAGTCATAACTGTGATTTGTTCATTCATGTTTTCACATTTAAGAGTAAGCTGTATTTTTACTTTGACAAAGCCATACACATCTAAAGTACCAGGGAAGCTTTGGCACAGTCCTCAGTTTCTTCAAGATTCCCTCTTATTTTGAAGGAGGTTTCTACACTTTTGAAGATGCCCTTGCTTTTGATAGTATTAGATCCTATCAGTGCTGATGACCACAGGGCTGTTTGGTCAGTTTGCCCAGCTCTTGCTGGCAAGACACTTCTGTAACAGACACGAATCCCAGTTTTGCCTAAGGTTTCCAGGCTCACCTAAGGTTTCCAGGCTCAGGAGCCCTACTGATTTCTTCATGACCATTAAGCACTTCAATGCTTATCAGCAGGGCTGTATGACTTGAGGTCTTTGCCCCAGAGAGCAGGCAGGATTTGTGTTAGATGACATCAATGCCACAAGCTTATTTCTTGTCACTGGAAGTCTCTCCCAAGGGAAAGGAGACCATCGGTAAGATACTTCCCAAGTCAGAGCCATAAGCCTGCTCCCAGATAGCTGCTTGCTTTGAAGTAAACAAGCAAGTCAACCCACAAGCTGGCTTTCTTGCATTTTTGAGTCATCATGTTTGCAAAACATCTACAAATAGCTCAGATTCACTTTAAATAGGTGCAAGTAATTGACTGCCTAGGGAGGGTGTGCTTGTCTGCTCCAAACTGATTTGCATGGAACAGGTGCTTCACGTCTCTCCCCAGAAAAATCCAGCAACACAAGCATTGCAGACAGCTGTTAACACCAAAGGAAGGCCAATCCCCTCTCTCAGGCTATAGTTTTGAATATAAAAGCCCTATTTCCCCTCCAAAGAAATGAATGCTAATTGTAGTAAGCCACACACAGAACAGTTCCCAAAAGGCAAGAAAAGTGCAGGAACTGAGTTCAGCCAGATCACATCCTTTCTATCCAGGGGACTGCAGCAATCCTCACCTAATACTTTCAAGTATTCAGTAATTACTGCATTTGAGTTTTCAAGTTCCTAAAAACTGCTCACACATGGTGCAGTGTTTCTCAAACCAATAATCCTAAGTAAAAAACCCCAAGATAATGACACAAACCTGACAGCCCCTCAGAGTTTCTTTTTAAAGAGGACCTGAGCATGTGATACTCTGAGAAAACCGATCAGGAAAGGCATCAGTGACTTCAATAGTTAGAATATTATTTTATTTATTTTGGGATTAGCGCAAAGTCAGTAAATATGCAAAAACTCAAAAAAGAATAGACCAAATCTAAGATGAGCTGCTATTCTTGGGGGGGGGGAGGGGGGGCGGAGAAGAGTAATTTTTCCCACAGTCTGCAGTCTTAAAGGCACAAGAGGATAACTAATTATACATGTACAAACATATTTAGCCCTCACAGCAATGCAGGCTGAGGACAGACTGGCTAGGGAGCAGCTCTGCAGAAAAGGCCCTCAGGGTACCGGTGGGCAGTGAGCTGAGCCCTGGCAGCAGAAAGGCCAAAAACTTGCTGGGCTGTATGAACAGGAGGACAGCCAGTAGGTTGATGGAAATGATTATTCCCCTTTCCTCAGCACTCATTAGGCTATATCCAGAGTACTGCATCCAGTTTTGGAGTGAGTTCAGCAGAGGGCCCCCCAGGATGCTCAGGGGGCTGGAGCACTTGCCTTGTGAGGAGAGGTTGTGAGACTGAGGTTGTTCATCCTGATTAAGAGATGGTTCTGGGAGTGCTTACAGCAGCCCCCAACACCTATGGGGAAGTGACCAAGGAGCTGGAGCCAGGCTTTTCACAGCAGTGAATGGTGGGAGGATGAGAGACGATGGGTAAAAGCTGAAAGAAGAGAGTTTCAGACAGGAGATAAGAAGACTCTTTCCTCTGGGGAGACAGCTGGGTAGGGGTGCAGGTTGCCCAGGGCGGGTGTACTGGCTCCATCCTTGGAGGTTTCCAAGCCCCAACAGAGCACAGTCCTGAGCAGACTGGTCTGAGCTCAGAGGTGGCCCTGCTGGAGACTTCCTGACCTCCCTTCCCTTTTTGCCATTGGAATAGCACGTTACAGCCAGAAGGAAAATCTAAGAAATTACTTGACTGCTTTCTGATAGATTTTTTTGTAATCTGAGCTATGACAGGTCTTAGGGGATCAGTCAAGGTGGACCTCATTATGTCAGGCTTGTACACACCTTGCCTTAAAAAGATTACTACCTGAACAGCATGGACAGAAAACAAATGAACCTTTGGTGGATTGATACCAGAGCATAGCTTAATGCCATAACTAGTCATAATGCTAGTCATTGGGACATAGGTCTTCAGAAAGCACAGAAGGAAAAGGGAGTGAATTAATCTGTTTTGTTACTTTGCTTTTCACAGAGCCCTATATCCCCTGTCCATCACATAAAAGCAGAATACAGACCTGTTGATCAATTGATTCAGGTGGTGCAATGATAAAGAGATCCCAATCAAGGAAACAATTTTATTGCCTTACCCTTCTATAGCCACCAGCACTCTCTCTTTCTGCCCCAAATCCACTTCTTCCTGTAATGCTGTGCTTTTCTGGAGAAAATCTCTGACTGCCGGGGTGCAGAAACTAAATTATCCCAAAAAACCTTTCAGATCTTACAGTCTAGGAATTTAGCTGTGTCCATTTGATATGGTGGACTGAAATGAAAGAAAAGAGTATGGGAGCAAACATAACCCTCTGTGGGTTGAGCCTATGTTTTTCTTCTGAAAGACAAGATGATTTAATTATTTGCCTCTAAGGTGGAGTGTTCTTGGATGACAGAAATAATTAAATAAAAACAAGACAGTGATCTTTGTGCTAGTAAGGGCATATGAATAATAACACTATGACCTACTGGCAAAGGAGGGGTAAGGGAGGAAGGAAACCACTGGGCACTGGGACTCTCTCTTCATTGGTCATCCTAGAGCATCATGTGGCCAAGGCTCCTTTTTAAAGATAACTACTGAGCTTCTGGAGCTCATACTGTCCTCCTGTCCTGCATTTCTGCTTGATCCTGTGGAAGACTTCTCTCTAGCCTGACAAAATGTGTGACCAGTTTCTAGGCACCTGGAAGCTCCTTTCTAGCGAAAACTTTGAGGACTATATGAAAGAGCTGGGTGAGAATTGTTGTTTGGAGTTGTTGTGTCTGGGACAGGGAAGGAATGCTGATTTTGAACTTTATTCCTTACTTGCTTTTTCTGGCTATGCTGTTTACCAAGGGGGTTTTAGTCCAACTATTTTGATCAGATGGTCTTAAACTGGAGAACTTGGCTGTTTGAATTAGCGATGTCAAATTCCTATAACGTAGAAAAGCCTTGATTGGGAGGAATAGTTTCAGGTAAGCCAAGTCTGTGCATGCCTACTTAGTAGTGTTATAAATGGAAGTAAAACATGTCACTGCAATATTTTGTGTGGATTAGCTTTTATCCTTAGACATACAAAGTGGTATAATGCTAGAATGCAACAAGCTTCTCTATGTCTAAAAGCAACACACCTAAACTTCTTTATATTGCTACTGGACTAGGAGACCGATTAATTGTCATGGCTGTTATAGTGAATGAAACTCTGTAGCTGTCTCCAGTGAATATTAACAAAGAAAATTGCATAGATTCATGCAGATACTTGCAAAAAGATCTGAGGGATAACACTCTTCTCTTAAGGTGTAGGCTTCTTGCTTAGAATTAAAATTGGACTTTAAAAGGTTTCCACATTTTTTTAGTGTGGGGGGAAGTATGGGGTAACTTGCACTGATTGGATCGGTACATGCTGAAAAGCTGGGGGGTTATTTGGAAATTAGGGGTAAAATACTGAGACTTATGCAGCATTCAGACAGCTTTCGGTGAGACTCTTGCACTCTTAGTCTTTACCCCAGATTTACTTAGGATGTATCCATTGCCAGCTATTTCTTAATCATTTCCTTTTATTCAGCCTAGCCACTGATAAAAAGTGCTTGCTTTTTTTTTTCTTGTTTGTTTTTGTGGCTTAGAAACTGTCATATATTTCTGCTTATTTACTTTTAGATACAGTTAGCATACAAGTTAGTGTACAAACCACCACAGCTATTTAGAACAAGTGTATGTGCAAATATCTAGCATTAAAATCCTGTCTCGGTCTTCAAAATACTGCTTTTACTACTCTGACAATGACAGAGAGGAGAATTTCCTTACATCATCCATCATCCCACCCAGCTTGGTCTATAATCATACCAAGCTAGTGAGATGTTACAAAGGAACCTCTGCAACCTGGAATTAATAAAAAAATTCTGAAAGTAATAGGGAAATCATCACTGAAGTCTTCCTCCTTCCCCCCCCCCCCCCCCCAACAAATAAGGGAAAGACATTGAGTAAAGATAAAAATTTCAGTGCCCTGTCTTATTTACAGGTGTGGGGTTTGCTACCAGGAAAATGGCTGGTGTGGCCAAGCCCAATGTAACTATCAGCATCAATGGTGATGTGATAATGATCAAAACAGAAAGTACCTTCAAAAATACAGAGATCTCTTTCAAGCTGGGTGAAGAGTTTGATGAGACCACAGCAGACGACAGAAAAACCAAGGTGAGTCCAAAACCAGCACTTTCCAAATACATCTCTCAAAAAGGGTGTGGGAGCGGGAAGATGGAGTTTTGATTTTGACATCCAGTGTAGAAATGCTGCCTTCAAAGGTAAGAGTGCTATGGATGCTTTGTGCTTCGGTGCTGTTTGGACATGGAGACAGTACCTTCTCTTCAGCCCAGACCACCCTGATGAAGCAGCTACGCTTTGCTTTTTTTCTTTGTCAGAACGTCATAACCCTAGACAATGGCGTACTGAACCAGGTGCAGAAGTGGGACGGAAAAGAGACTATCATAAAGAGAAAAGTGGTGGATGGGAACCTGGTGGTGGTGAGTTCATTTTTGTTACTTAATCACTGAATTAATTGTGCAGAATTCCTGTTTGGCAGATGTATTACATTGGATTCAAACACGGGGAGTGAAAGCATCTGAAAGGGCTCCGTGCACTTGGCGAGAAGTCTCTCTGAATAAGTCTGGCGTATATATTAAAACTGAAATGCCGTTAAACTTACAGAATTGTATGGAGGTGCCTGTTCTCCATTCATAGCAAGACATGGTTAGGAAAGAGTAGGGAGGAAAAAAAACAACATCCCTGTGAGGGAAATTTTTATATATCAGAATCTTTAAGTCCTTAACAGTATAAAGGAAGCGTTAGCAACGTCCATGTTAAGTGCGTCCGCTCTGTGCTGATGTTCGTCTCCAGTAGAGACTCAACAGCCATCTGTGGGAACCGCCCTATGGATCACCAACAGCTATGTCAATGATATGATGTTATAGCAAAACAAAGAAACCTGTATCTGAGCTCTGTTCGTTGGTGTTATCTGGTCAGAGAGTATCGTGTTTGACTTGGTGCCAGTGAGGCCCACCTGCAGTTTAGGGCTTCCCAGTGCTGCTTTCCAATTTTAGGAAAGACACTTTGAAGAATCTGGGAGGGAACCAAATCTGTGTTCATAAAAGGCAGCTGAGATTCCTACATGCTACAAAATGATATACATACACAAAATTCCTGAAGAGTTCTGCCCTCCTCTAGAGAAAAATAATATGTCCATAAATTTAATATTTAAATTTCTTTGGATAGAGACCAGAGGAGAACAAATAGAAATAGGTTTTAAGAACCACTTCATTAAGAAAGATTGAACAAAACAGAGTTTGATTTAACAGAAAAATAGATGAGGACAGAGCCTAACATGCAGAGGCTGACACCAGCAGCTGCAAGTCTGAAAGCTGTGTAGGACTCTGTGTGTGTATGTGTGGGTATGTGTTGTGCACACGTGTGTGAAGAAGACAAGCCACAGCTGCAAAAGGTGAAAGGAAAAAAGACTAATGCCCAGCTCCAGACTCCAATCACCCTCCATACAAGTCCTAGGAGCCTTCTTTAGAGGTTTTCAAGAGGAGATTAGAAATCTGGAGCAGTCCTTTAATATTCTTTCAGTCCTGTTCTTGTACTATAGTTTTCTGTTTCTGAAGCTCTCAAACTTGAGTTTCACTGTTTTGGCAATTGGTTTTAGAGGAGGAGAAATGCAAATTTTTTCTTACACTGGCTCCCAATGGATAAGTAATTCTCTACCTTCTGACTAACAAATATTTAGTGAGAGTTAAAAGCTGATTGAATTTGCCTTTCTTTCCAGGAATGCACCATGAATAATGTTACCTGCAAAAGAGTTTATGAAAAAGCATGAAGAAGCTATCTTCACACAGGACTATTGCTTAAAGCTGGAGATAAACAACTAAACTGAAGGAGAAGAGAACTGTACTTTTTACAAGTATATCCCAAACCAGTTACAATCAGCTAGTCTAATTTGTTGTGGCTATTCAATAAAATGTTCAGCTTTCTACAACCTATGCTTGTGCTGGAGTTTGTAAGAAAAGGGTTTGGGGGGATGCAGCATGGGAAGGGGTGCTGTGTGGGAAAGCATGGCATGAGAGCTAGTACCACACTTGGTAACTGTGGCCCATCTCACTGTGGAAAGAGGATCAGAGACGATCCCATGAGCGGCACTTGTTGTATGACAGTGATAGATGTAGACCTGGACACAAAAACGTCCACGAGTGCTGTGAGTGGGCTACCCACTGCAAGGAGTTTGTGCACGGCAAGGGCAATGGGGCTGCTTACCTTGGCTTCGAGTGACAGGCGTTGTTCCTGGGGCAAGGGAGGAGGGCGATTACTGTGGATGCCCAGCGTTGGCTTCCGACATGAACAGGGAACCATGCACCTCCTCCTCACACAAATGCTGACAATTTTAAACCCAGGGATCATCTGAAGTGGCTTGATCTTGTCCTCTTCCACCTGAAGTGTGAAATTATAGCTGCTGTAGCTCTCAGCTGTGATTATTTTGTTTATGTCCCTTTCCTTAACATCTCTTTTTCTCCTAGATTAGACAAAAAGCCTTGAATTAAGAATCATAGCTTAATAAGTACTCTCAGGCTTACTAAAAGCCTGTGTCCTGGTTTCAGCTGGAATAGAGTTAATTTTCTTCCTAGTAGCTGGCATAGTGCTGTGTTTTGGATTTAGTATGAGAAGAATGTTGATAACACGCTGATGTTTTAGTTGTTGCTGAGTACTGCTTATGCTAGTCAAGGGCTTTTCAGCTTCCCATGCTCTGCCAGGTGCACAAGAAACTGGGAGGGGGCACAGCCAGAATAGTTGATCCAAACTGACCAAAGGGCTATTCCATACCATATGGGCCATTCCATACCATACGGCGTCATGGGCTGGATGAGAGGGGGGGGGGGGGTTGGCTGGGGAGCAGCGATCGCTGCTCAGGAGCTGTCTGGGTATCTGTCGGCGGGTGGTGAGCAATTGCATTGTGCAGCACTTGCTTTGTATATTATTATTACTATATGGTTATTATTATCAGCACCATTTTACTTTATTTCAATTATTAAACTGTTCTTATCTCAACCCAGGAGCGTTTCTCACTCTTACTCCTCCGATTCTCTCCCCCATTTCATCGGGGCAGGGGGAGTGAGTGAGCGGCTGCGTGGTTCTTAGTTGCTGGCTGGGGCTAAACCATGACAGCCTGTAAAAGTTTGTTAGTGGTAAAACCTCATTTATTTTCTATATGCATTCCCTAGTAGCACATTAGGTTAGATCAGTCTTGGGAACTTAAGCTTCTCTAGATGCGTAAGCCCTTTGGATACCATGTTTTTCAACTCATCTTATTCTTGAACTACTTTCTTCTACTGCCCTTAGGCCTGGCCTTCTATTTCAAAACTTCATGTCCACAGAAGCCCTGATTTCTACACCTGAGAGGACTCAAACTGAGGATGGAAAAAAAAAAAAAAAGAGAAGTCTAGGTAAAACCTGGACAAGAAGAATCTGAAAATGTGTGCAGTAACCACAAAATGGGGAAATGAGCATATCTCAAGCTTTGCGGTTGAGATCTATGAACCAAATTCCACATATTCCTGACATTCCTGAGGTCAGCTGTCAGAGGTGACGGTGCTGAGTCCCTACTGCTAGCAGCAGAGACCTCATACCCTTGAACTTTCCTCTGCATGACTCAGATTGTTCCCAAGTTTCTGCACTATTAATATAACTGGAGAGGGGAAAAGAAAACAGACTTCTGCACTCTGGATGAGCTAAGGAGTCATTTAAGAGCAGTTCCAAAATTATAAATTCTGGAATTTACAGAATTCTGCAGAAAATGTTAAAAAAGCCATGAACAAACAGCTCCCCTGTTTTTACCTTGGCTTCATTTGTTGTGAAATCTCATCAGCTTGAAGAACAGCAGTTGTATAGGGGAGGGAAGTATGCTTCAGAGTACCGCATATATACAATACTAAATCTACTTAGCACCTCACAAGAACCAAAATTATTTACAAAAGCCAGGATAAAACTACAGTTTAGTGGCAGAAAACCACTGGCAAAAAAGTGGGGGAGATGATCATAAGAAGCAGCAACATTGACCTAAATAATCTATATATAGACATTAAAGATCAGCCCATAGTTAAATATATCCCATTGTCCACAGATATGGAAGTACTATATTTCAGAAGTCAAATTTCCAATATTCTAATATTCATATAGCAGCCTTTATTTTCCAGAAATCTTACATTCTTAATAAAGCCTGCAGTTACTGTAGTTACAATTTTAACATTCACAGCCTGATTTTTCAGAGCGAGGTTATCTCTTCTGAAAGCATCATCATTTATTTTAGTACCTGGTGAATGATTTCAGACTTTGTGAATGAATCAAGCCACTTAAAACTTCAACTTCTGGAAATTTAAATAAAGTGACATTCTGTCTATAAACTTTAACAGGGCCAGGACCATAATGAAGTATTAGTGATGCTTTTCTTAGAATATGAACATGTCTGAAATTTATTCTCTGAAGAAGGCCAAAATTTATTGTCTAGAAGAGGCAGCAGCCCAGTGACTTCTTGAATAAATGGAGATGATTCCTCCAGGTGTGTGCTCTCAGACCTGGATGGAGGTGACAGCACACATTTCTAAAGGGTAAAGGCACATCAGCGTTTTGTCCTTGTCTGCAGAGCAGCACAAGTCCCCCTCTCTTTTCTGTAGTGCTGAACTGTTCTCCAAAAATCAGAAACTATCCCTTAACATTCCTTTCTGAAAAAGGAGGATCTCACCAAACCCCTACAAACCCTGTGGGTGACACGCTTATCGCAGCAGGCGCCCTTGAATGCTGAGGAGGAGATCTTTGCCCGTCAGCATATTTACTCACAACTCTTTTAGAGGTTTCTTGTATGACAAGAGGGAAAGGGAACGCACACCCACAGATTTTTAGCAGCTCAGGAGACAGATGAAGCAAGGCTTATTCTGAGCTTTGACCTTTCTGTTAATTTTCTGTTTTTCTTTTAACTCTCTTTCCACTGGAAAGAACTCAGAGTACTTTTGCATCCTGGCCAGTCAAGCCCAGTGTGCACCCAGCTCTGCAGTCTGCCCTGAGCTGGACCCATTCCCTCAGCCCCAGCAGTCTTCGTCTGATCTTGGGGGATGCCCCAGCTAAGGAGACAAAAAGCTATTTGCACCCTCCAATGTAGCTATTGGGAAGAGGCAGACCCCTCGCCTTGTGTTGGGAGTCGATCCCTTGGCTCCATAGAGTCAGTGTTAAAACATCCTTCGTGTCCTCACAGTGAGGCAGGCATTTGGCCTCTGTTCTCCACTTTTATTTCTGTTTTCTTCATGACTTGCCTAGGAATTTAATTTAGACTTTTTTTGGCACTGAATTTGCCCAGATCATATTTCCTTTAAATAAATTGACATAAATTTACTTTCCATTTTTCTTTAAATAGTCTCTTTACTTTTTTAGCTCAATATTTTTATCAATTTTAGCTTTAGTGCTGCTTCACAATCTGCAAGTGTTTTGATTTCAAATCCTGTTTTACTCCAACCATAAGCAAAAAAAGGGAATCAAAGCTCTCTTTTATCACATGTACTCACAAGCCTTGACACTTTTTTCCTTTAAACTTTAAGAAAAGATTGGTTTCCACAGATATTATTTCTACTGAGATATAATTCCCTGCTCTTCTTTGTTCTAGACTGTAAGTCCTTTAAATGAAAGTGCTGATTTTCCTTAGTGACAAAGAGATAGATGGTAGCAATGTCAACATTGTTTGAGACTGCTTAAGACTGGGGTTTTGTCTGTATAAATAATTCTCTGTCACTTTTGTTCTTAAGGTTACTGGTACTGCAGTAGAGCTGTTCTATTCTGACTAGTTTGCTCTTCTTGAATGTCTTTGGGCCTGATTTTACAACGTCCCAATCATCTTTTATTTACCAAAGGCACCAGCCTTGTCTTGTTAAAGTGCCTTTATGTGGGTAAGACAATTAAATGAAAGAACAAAGAATGCCCGAGGAGCAACGGTAGCATATTTTTGTATTATTCCTTTAGAAATAATAGATAATTTTATTTAGGAGGAGCTTTCTCATTTCCAGAGATTGGATAAAAGAGCTAGCTATTCTTTACACAAAATGTGATATAATGCATCTCTGCTTTAGCAGAGCTTTGTGTGGACAACACCTTCAAAGACTGACATTTATTTACTTATTACAGATACAGCATCTGCTTGCTACTGTGGGGGAGAGTTCTTCTTCACTTTTTTTTAATTTTCAATCACTCTAGACTTTCCCTCCCTACACTGCACTGTAATTAGACCTGAGCAGTAATGGGAAGTTCTGCTCAACTTACCCTTGTTGATGTTATGACTGATAGGATAAAAACATTTTGCATATACAATCAAAATTTGTGACTTAAGACCTTGTTATTTCCCCACAACCACAGTATAACCTCTGTATGTTAGGGAGTGTTTTGACTGTATAGAGCTCAACAATTGTGATGACAAGGTAGAGGGCTTATGGGTAAGGATGAAGGGAAAGGCCAGCAAGGCGGATGTCCTGCTGGGAGTCTGCTACAGACCACCCAACCAGGATGTAGAGATAGATGAAGCGTTCTACAAGCGGCTGGCAGAAGTCTCGCAATCGCTAGCCCTTGTTCTCGTGGGTGACTTCAACTTGCTGGACATCTGCTGGAAATACAACACAGCAGAGAGGAAACAGTCTAGGAAGTTCCTAGAGAGGGTGGAGGATAACTTCCTGATGCAGCTGGTAAGCGAGCCTGCCAGGGTGAATGCCTCACTTGACCTGCTGTTTACTAACAGAGAAGGGCTTGTGGGAGATGTCATGGTTGGAGGCCATCTTGGGCTTAGCAACCATGATATGCTAGTGTTTTCGATTCTTGGTGACGTAAAGAGGAGGGGCAGCAAAACTGTTACCATGGACTTCTGGAGGGTAGACTTTGGCCTGTTCGGGATGCTGGTTGGGAGAGTTCCTTGGGAGACAGTCCTGAAGGGCAAAGGGGTCCAGGAAGGCTGGGCCTTCTTCAAGAAGGAAGTCTTAAGGGCACAGGAGCGGGCTGTCCCCGTGTGCCGTAAGAACAACCGGCGTGGAAAACGACTGACCTGGCTGAACAGGAAGCTTTTGCTGGGACTCAGGGAAAAAAGGAGAGTCTACCACCTTTGGAAGAAGGGGTGGACAACTCAGAAGGAGTACAGGGATCTTGTTAGGCCCTGCAGGGAGGAAATTAGAAAAGCAAAAGCCCAGCTAGAACTCAATCTGGCCACTGTTGTAAAAGATAATAAAAAATGTTTTTACAAGTACATCACCAATAAAAAGAGAGCCAAGGAGAATCTCCATCCTTTGCTGGATGTTGGGGGGAACGTTGTCACCAAGGATGAGGAAAAGGCTGAGGTAATTAATGCCTTCTTTGCCTCTGTGTTTAACAGCCAGCCCTGTCATCCCCAGAGTACTCAGGCCCCTGAGCTAGAGGATAGGGATGGGGAGCAGACGGGAG